ACGTCCTCAAGCAGCTCTGGGCGCTGCGCCAGCGAGAGTGCCCCGAGTGCCAGCTCGTGTCGCTGGGCACCTACAGCCCCGTGCGGGGCGGCTTCGCCGGCCGCGCCGACAAGGTGGAGATGAAGACGTGGAAGTCCACGGAGCACAACATGGGCATGGCCTTCGGCAGAGACACCTACCAGAAGCTCATCGAGTGCACGGACGCCTTCTGCACCTACGATGATTACAACTGGGATTGGACTCTGCAGCACTTGACTGTCTCTTGTCTTCCAAAGTTCTGGAAAGTGCTGGTTCCCGAAATCCCCAGGATTTTTCACACGGGGGACTGTGGCATGCACCACAAGAAATCCTGCAGACCGTCCACCCAGAGTGCCAAAATCGATTCTCTCTTGAACAGCAACCAACAGTACCTGTTTCCCGAGGCAATGAGCGTCAGTAAAAGGTACTCCATGGCTCCCCTGTCCCCTCACGTCAAGAACGGAGGGTGGGGAGACATCAGGGACCACGAACTCTGTAAGAGTTACCGCAGACTCCAGTGAGGATCCTCCTCGCAGCCGCCTTTTCTCCTTGAGTTGTTCCATTGTGTCTCTTCCAGGCACACACACGTGTATAAACAGCATTTATGAGTTGGTTTCTGCTTTAATATGAATAAACATTCTTGTTAAAGGTGTCCCAAAATAGTAATCTCTCATGTTTGGCAACCACGTTTTGGAAACGGGTGACGTGCTGCAGCCCCTACACAAAAAGTGACCTGCTGCTGTGTTTGCTGGGAGGAGGAGGAGGAGGAGAACAATTTTAAGTGCATCTTTTTTGGTGCTTCAAAGCTCTGGTGGTGCCTGGGGTCCCACCCGGGGTCACCTCACCCCCGATCCCCGAGTCCCGGTTCGGTTGCGCTGTGTCGATGAATATATGAAGGATGGAAAAAAAAAAAAGAAATAAATTGCATTGTTTTTACTACGATGTAGATAAATATATGATTTTTTTAGTTCTGCCAAAATAAAAATTCCATTGTTTTGTAAGCCTAGAGAAGTTCTTGATTGTCAGCAAAAAGATGATGTCATCTTGTGTTCCTAAAAAGTCAGGATGGGAAGGAGGGGGGAGTTTCTCTTCTTTAATCCCAAGGGCTGGACGTGTGCCATCACCCCTTCTAGCAGTGTGCATTTAACTTCATTAAATTTTTAATGATACTCATTAATCGAGGCAGAAAAGAGTAGCAAATTGGTGGCACAACACCTCTTTTGTTTGGATTTAAAAAAAGAAAAAGTTGTTCCAAATTAGCTGTGTCAAAACTGCTGCTGTGGGGTGGGAAGGGGCTGAGCTGGGACCACGGAGCCGGCTGTGAATGCTGCAGCAGCTCTAAGGCCACTCCTCTTTGAACTCAGCTGTGGCAAAAGCACCTCAGCAGCTTTTGTAGAACACAGAAATATGGCAGAGAAAGAAAATGCTGGGGTTTTTTTTATTTTTCCGGGGGTTATTTAAGCACAGTTTTGCAAGGTAATCGCTCTGTGTTCTGTTCCGCCAGATCGGGGCTGGTGTTGAAGCTTTGCTGGTGCCTCACGCTCCGAGACCTCTCCCAAAAAGCTGGTGGGGTTAAGCTGAGCCCAGCAAAGCTCCTGCAGGATGTGGCACCAGGGAAGGCAGGGCAGGTGTCTGGGGCAGCTGTGGCTCCTGCTGAGCTCTGAAACCACACACCCAAACTGGTGTTTCACAGAGAAATGTGACAGCAGTGCCCTGAAAGGAGGCAAAATGAACTCTCCTCTAAAGCACCTCTCAAACGAAAACAGAAGTTGGTTCAGCAGCAGTGAGGAAAGGGGAACAGGAAGTTTATTATTAGATGTGTTCTCTCGGTTATTGTGCTTTAGGGGGGTGAGAAATGCTGAAATTCGAGGGAAACTGAGAAAAATAAATCTAATCTGGATAAAGAGAATCTATTTCACCAATTGTAAATACTTCAGAGCAGACGTGTTCAGAGGATGTTCTTGTGCAATGGAATTTGTTCAGCTGGGGGATATCTGGGTGCTGCAGATCTGAAGCACAGCACTAGGATGGAATACAGGGTATAAATGTTGATTATTTCTAGGAGACTAATTAGAACTTCTCCGGGTAATTAGAAATTTCATTTGATTGCTAAGAATCACTGTGAGTCTAATCCTGCAGTTATCACAAAATGAAAGGTTTGGAAAATGATGACTACTGCTCAATTCCCGAGGGAGCCATTAGACCGAGGATATATACAAATAATCCCTGAAACGAGGGAAGAGAATAAAAAAATTTATGTAAACAATAAAGATACAATTTTTCCAGGAGCTCAGAGTCACCTCCAACTGCAAACTTTTCTTGTAAGTAAAATTATTGCCAAAGATGTGATTAGAAAATTATTAACAATTTTAAGTTAAGGAAGGTTTTGGTGTTGCACCGGTTTCAGTGGGAGCCCATGGGCCCTGGAATCATCACATGGAAGTCAGAGCAAGTATCAAACAACAGAAGGAAATCCTTAAATCGATGAAACTAATCCAGCTCGTAGAGCAAAGTGTTGTGGAAGGGGACGGGGCAGCGCGTGCGGTGATCGCGGATTATCCGCACGCTTCCGTCCTCGGGGTTCACCTCCCGCAGCACGGGGGATCCTGCCCTGCTGCCCAGCCCTGGGGCTGCCTCCTCATCCTCATCCCCTGGCACTTCTCCTTGTTTTCCAGAGCCTGGGGCCGGGGCTGTGTGTCCTGCTGCAGCAGCACTTTCTAAATCAGGCTCCTTTCTCCCAGATCCGCCAGGAATCGCTGAACTGGTGGCAGGAGGTTCATGCTGCAAACAATGGTGTGAAGCACAGCCTGCTTTTCCTATTGTTCCAGCTGTGGGAGCGGGGCTGGACCCTGCAGCACCTCCCTCGGCTGCAGGACACTCTGTTTCTGCCTTTGTTTCGGGGTAGTTGCTGTCGGTCCTTCCAGCAAGGGCTCCCCCAGAGCTGCCAAGTGTTCCTTCTCCATCACGTTCCTGTGGCTGTCAAGGAAAGAAATGAATTATTTTCTAGCTGGAACAAACTGTGCACACCAAGACAGGAGAGATTTGTTTCTCCAACAGCTCAGCGCCACTGGGATGGTGGAAAGCGTCCCTGCCCATGGCATGGGGGTTGGAAAAGGTTCCAAACCGAGTTGTGATTCCATGATTCTCTTTCTAGAAGCCAAGTGAGCGGGTGCTGAGGTTTTCCTGCTCCTGACTGGGAATGTCCAGGGAGGACATTCTGCTTTCCAGGGATTTCTCCGCTCTAGGAAAGGCGCTGGGCAGCGGCCACTCAGCACACCCAGCCTGATTCCCAAAATCTCCCAATTCCAGCAGCCACAGAATCAGCCAGGGGATCTCAACTCTTGGTGCAAGGTTGGAAGCAATTAGGGAATGACTGCGGAGCAGATCCGGGAATTGCCCTTTGCCTCGGGAGGGGAGAGGTGCTGTCCAAACAGCACTGCCCAAATTTCACCATTACTGTGTGTTTTGGCAAAAAACTGCTGGGAATTCATAGGTCCCTGGCAGTGGGGAGTCAGGAGAGGCAGGGATCTATCCAAGAGCAGCTGGATTCATGGATTCAGAGACACAGGCTCTTTCTCACACCCCCAAACCACTGCTCACCCCAGCAGGAAACACGAGAAACACCAGTCAGTCCTTCCCAAAGGAAAACACAATCATGGAATACCCTGAGGTGGAAGGGACCCTCAAGAATCGTCAACTCCAACTCCTGGCCCCACACAGGAGCAGGAATGTGATGATTTAAGGTATCTAAGCTGCCCTTAGGTCCCAAACCAGACTCATCTGCTCTCCAACACTCAGAATTTCACTTTTTTTATGTCCAACCCACAGCAGCTGCGAAAGTTAAGCTGGATCCGCTATCTTTGGGAAAATCCTCGGGCCTCCAGCCCAGTTCCAGAGGTCATGTGCTTCATCTGAACTTGCCTCCCAAAAAACCAGCTACACATTAACTCCAGCTGCAGTCCCCAGTTCATGGCCACAGCAGTGACCTGCTTGTTTCTGCTTTTTATGTTTCTTTTCAGAAAAGTTTCATCTGAATTTTGAATGAAGAAATCCCAGTGAACGTGGGGGGTTTATCTCACATTTTCCTCCTTACAAAACGAACATTTGGATTTCTTCATCTGTCCATCTATTTTGCCAAGGGAGGACACTTTAATCCCATGGCAGATCCCAGAAACAGCCTGTCTTGCTCTAGACAGAGGAAGAAGAGCCTGAATGAGGCCTGAAACTACAAGGATTGAATTTGAGACCAGTGTTTAAGATTAATAGCCTCATGTTTAATTATCTACACAACAGGAACCCACCAAGTATTCCAATACATGGATTGAATAAAGATGAGGCAGGATTCTTCCCAGATAAAACCCTCTAGGATTTCTCTACCTGTACAAGGCTGAGTGAATGAGTTATTCCTGCAAGGAAAAAGCACTTTTTTAAATGATTGGATCACAGTTCTGCATCTTCCAAATGAAACAGAGGAGGTTTCAATCTTTGGTCACATTAAATGGCACAAACACAAGCTTTGCTTCTGAAAATTGACATTTAACTTGCAAATAACCCCAGTCCTGGGTTTTCCCTGCTTCCTCAGGACAAAACAGGAACAAAGCTGTTCCAGTGGGATTTGATAGGATCTTGCTGAAGAACATAAATCAGCCTGTGCTGCTCCTGGATCCTTACCTCCACCCTGATTTGAATTCTGTCCTCAGTAACATCCAGCACTTCAATTAATGGCTGCCTTTCCAGTGCTGATTGGGAGCAAGGGGAAGGGCAGAAAGCAGTGCCTAGAAATCCATCAACGTTCTCCTCACTGACAAACAATCTTTCCTAAGGAAAAAAAAGAGAAAACAGCAGGTTATGTTCTTTTTGTGGGTATTTGGGCCAAGAACTCGCTGCAAAGAAAGCCAGGACAGCGATTCCCAAGTTTCACAGCACATTCATGGCTTGACAAAGAAATTCTAAGCCAGACATTCAAAGAACGAGGTGAAATTAATTAAGACCAGTGCTTAGCTAATTTTGCTTCAAAGTACTAATATGCATGGTATCAAATAAAAAGGAAATGCTATTTCTCTCTTTGGATGGGTGAATAACACAGAGATTTAGACTCTCTCTGAAAAATTATTTGTACTGACCTGGTTCCACCATCCTCACCTGTCCTAACAGCAGGAAGGTGTTAGACTGTGGTGGATTTGTCTCCTGTCTGTCTTTAGGAAAACACAAACACCTCCTTGGAGAGGCACTGCAGGATCCTCACTCCAAGATCAGATCTGGAACACTCAGGGCTGGATCCATTTCACACCCAACCACTGAGGCTGCTCTGATCTCCACGCAGCCAAACCAGTTGGGGAAAAAAAACAAACAAAAGGAGAGGGATCCCGGGGCAGAGAAACAGCCTGGGGTGTGTTTCCAGGATGTTCATAAACACAACCTGAAACGTGTTGCTACAGGTTTAGAGATTTAAATCAGTTACAGGTAATTAAAGGTCCTAAAATATATCCTGGAGGGGCTGTTTCATAGGACCTGCAGAGCTTTCCCTGTCCTTGGGTTATTCCTACATCATCTGTGTAGGCTGAGGCTAAGGACAGACACAATAAAAATAGTCTGACCTAGAGGAGTAGTTTAGGTTCTGGGAATTACCTTCCTTATTTAATTGGAAATAACAGGGACAAGTTGCAAACCTTCCACATTAAGTCACACTTTTCAATTTCTCGGTCCAGTTCAACCCTCTTGTCAATCCAATGAAAGTTACATTCAATTATCACTGACATCTTGCAGACCGAGAAGCAAAAAGGCAATTCTGCACATTTTTGGCCCCCTGTGGATGGAGCCTTATGCACAGCCAGATGTCACATTGTGTCTGAGGTACAAAATTTAACTGTCATCTTGAAAAAAAAAACCAAAAAAAAACCCCACAAACCAGGATTGGAAAAATAAGCCAGAGTCCTATTTTTTCCACTAGTTAAATTAGAAATCACAATATGGAAAGTCATAACAGACATACTGTTGGTTTTCCAAGGCAGAGGATTGGATTCATTTTCTATCCAGAAAGATTACAATCCAGGCAAAGAGCCAGCACTGGATGCTGGGATGGTTTGGGGAGAGATTAAAGTGCAGCAGAGCTGCCCTGACTGAAAACCCTCTCAGAACATCCCTATTTCTTGCATTTCTCCATGCAAAGCCTAAAATTCTTATTCCCTCGTGCTGCATCCTCTCCTGCCTGCCAGAGAGGGATCTGCCAGAGCTTTAGGCTGTGGAAATACTCTGCAGAGCTCAGGGGAAGATGTCAGAGTACAGGAACGAGGCAGGGGCCGCAGACACAAAATCTGTGCAGCACCAAAACTCCCACAAGCTCCTGAACCCGATCCTTGGGCGGCTCAGGAGGAGAATTCCCAGCTCTGCCCTGGAATGTTTGGCCCACAGAGCACAGAGAGCTCAGCCTCTCCTGGAGGGGATTTGGGATTTTGGTGCCCTGCCTGCACTTCCAAAGCACTTCCTGACCCAGCTGAAATCCAAGTCAGGGAATCACGGTTTGGGTTGGAAGGGACCTGCCAGCTCATCTCATTCCAGCCCCCTATCCAATGGGATATTTTCAGGAACTTTCATTACTTTCCACTAGACCAGGTTGTTCCAAGTCCCATCCTACTTTTTCTCCATAAAATGAGGAAAAGAATCTTTTTTCCCCTCTGAATCTGCATCTGGCCCCCGTGGCTGTGTGAGGGACACCCGCTCCTCCTCAGCGCAATCAGGACTCGGCAGAATGTGCTGAACCTTTCTGGAGAATTTTATCCTAATTAAAAACAAAAGAATTTGTTTTCTTCGAAGAAAACATTGTTTAAAAAACTAAAACTTTCCTATTAGCAGGAGAGGTTCTTCCCCCAGAGCACTGCCCAGGGAATGGTGACATTCCTGAGGCTGCCAGAGCTCCAGGAGGGTTTGGACACTTCTCCCAGGGATGCCCAGGCTGGGATTGCTGGGGTGTCTGTGCAGGGCCTGGAGCTGCCCTGGATGATCCCTGTGAGTCCCTTCCAGCTCAGGATAGTCCATAATTCTATGATTAATCAGTACTTTAAATGAGGATAAAAAGTAACCGCTTGTAATGTCGCTCTGTTAATTCTGACTCATTACTGCAAACCAATTTTACCAAGTTTCAGCCCAGCCCAACTCTGAATTTTTGTAAATATTTACCATTTTACCCCATCCCTACCCCGTGGCCTGCCATAAATCATGGACCTGGGATGTGTTTGTTGTCAATGATTATCATTAGCCTGTTCCACCAGCCACTGTAACTCAGACTTTGCATTCACGGGAAGCACACACCAAGGCATTTATATTACTGCAGATGTTATCAGAGCACAGACCTTGGAAAAAAATGATTCAGGAATTTATTCTAAAGCCTGCTCTGCCTTCCAAGCCAGAGCAAACAGAGGACAACCATCTGCAGCTGATTTCAATGACCCTGTAAAATAATTCTTCAATTTAAGCCGTTTATTTTCTGGTATTTATGATGTTCTCTTAGCAACTTCGAATTTAATTTGTTTTTCCCTGCACACACTGTCATCTGCTGTTTGGTACACACTCATTTTTCCCTGTGACTAAACTGAGACCAAATTAACATAAACCTTAGCAGGGATGACTTTGGTTTCTAGAGCACTTCATCATTCAAACCCATCCTTGTGTCTCACAGCACCGACGGCGCAGAGCCGGTCCCCTCACGGCTGCCCCCAGCACTCAGATGGGTTTATTCTGCTTTAATTTATCCAAATTGAAGACAGTTTCCATCCAGAGTTACCTCCCACGCAGGCTGTGAGTTTGAAAAGCAGGACAGATTTCAGGCTTAAATTATTTTTGTGGTTCCTGTAATGAGAGGATCAGGGAATCTCAGAATGGTTTGGGTTGGGAGGGGATTTAAATCCCATCCAGTTCCAAGCCTGCTATGGGATCCACTATCCCAGGCTGCTCCAAATCCCATCCAAACTGCCCTTGGACAACTCCAGGGATGGAGCAGCCACAACCTCTCTCGTCAAAACACAACAATTCATGCCAATATGGAAAAGGACCTGGATTTCCTGACCTCTGCATTTGTGGGGTCCCAGCACAAGCCAGCTCTGAGACCTGAGAATTTGAAACTCAAAGTTTTGGTACCTGTAGTGAAATGAAAACTTTTCCAAGGTGCTCATGACTGCAAAGATGAAACAGCTCCAAGGAAGCTTTGATGAGCTTCATCAGTAGGTTAATAATGTTTCCTGACATAACTGTTTTGTGTAGTCACGTTATTCCCAAAATGCAGCTACCAATTAAAGACTATTCAGAAATGAGTTTGTTTTATAGCAGAAGCAAACTAATTATGATCCTTAATGTAGCTTGGGGAAGAGATTACTTTGAAATATGTGAAATAATAAGTTTGTTGTGTTCTCCTTCTTTGTCCTTCTCTGACCTCCCAAAAAACTTGCCAACAGTCTTGAAATGCTGAGCACAGAATTAACTGAACCGAAAATAAACTGTTGTAGGATTACATTCAACAGCCCCAGTTTCCAGCAGCATCTTCTTAGAAGTAACCCCTGACTATTACAATAAGTCTTTATAGTAGCTTGGAAATTGAAAATTAGAACTCTGACTTCCAAAGAAACTGTGCAACAACTCCAAACAGCTTGGAAATGAGGGTAAAACAGCTGTCTGGGAAGGATTTCTCCACAAAAGGCAGCAAAGGTTTAAAACATCCATGTCTTACACTTCCCAACACGGCTCTCAAGGTTTCATGCTTGGTTGATTCTCCAACCAAGGAAAACATTTATCCACCAGAGCCCTAATTCTGAGCTCAGCCAGCCCAGCATAGCCCACAGGGGCACTTGCAGCCCTTGGCCTTTTCCACATGGTCCCAGTGCTAGGAGCAACAGAACTCTGCCACCTGCAGCTCCACACAAGGGATGTGGGAAATTTAGATGGGATATTAGGAAGGAATTCCTGGCTCTGAGGGTGGGGAGAGGCTGGCACAGGGTGCCCAGAGAAGCTGTGGCTACCCCTGGATCTCTGTGAGTGTCCAAGGCCAGGTTGGATCAGCCCAGATCACCTTATCCCAGCCTCTTCTAGGGGGCACTTAATCATCCCAGAATCCCGCAATGGTTTGGGTTGGAAGGGACCTTAAATCCCCCCATCCTAGCCCTGCCATGGCAGGGACACCTCCCACTGTCCCAGGCTGCTCCAGCCCCAGTGTCCAGCCTGGCCTTGGGCACTGCCAGGGATCCAGGGACAGCCACAGCTGCTCTGGCAATTCCAGCCCAGCCAGCAATTCCCAATTCCCGATCTCCCATCCATCCCTGCCCTCTGGCACTGGGAGCCATTCCCTGTGTCCTGTCCCTCCATCCCTTGTCCCCAGTCCCTCTCCAGCTCTCCTGGAGCCCCTTCAGGCCCTGCAAGGGGCTCTGAGCTCTCCCTGGATCCTTCTCCTCTCCAGGGGAACATTCCCAGCTCTCCCAGCCTGGCTCCAGAGGGGCTCCAGCCCTTGCAGCAGCTCCATGGCCTCTCTGGACCTGCTCCAACAGCTCCACATGTGTTTTTTACCAGCTGCTTTCTGAAGGAAAAAGCAACAAAAAGTTTCCAAAGGGTCTCCTTCACAAGGCACTAGTGGCTGTGCCAAGCAGAAAAATCAAATCCATGTAGAACATCCTGCAATGAGGCCTCAACACTCCCAGGAAAGTTAAACAAAACTTCCCTATCTCTGAGAAATTCCCATTTGCATCCCTCACACAGCGTAACTCAGCCTCAGCTCCAAGCATGAACTCCTCAGGAATGTTCAGTATAATCTTTTTCAGCCTGTAAATGTTAAAAAAGCAATGCATAGGAAAGCAGAGGAAATATTTCCTCTGTTTTCCTCTGCTCCCTGCTGTTCTCTGGAGCCCCGTGGGGGTTTACGTGAGTTAAATCCTGATATTCTTTCTCCCTAAGATCTGAGGGGATCTTTTAGGAAAGGGATGGGCTGGCTGCAGTTCCCTGCCCAGCCAGGGGAGCCCAGGGGGAACTGACCAGAGGACTGAGCACACATCCTCTGAACAAACCCATTCCAGGCCTCTGAGAAGGGCAGGAAGGGTGGATCAGCCTAAAAGGGAATTCCTGCATGAACCAGTCTTTTTCTAATCCCATTAAAAGGAGCAGACACGACCCCAAAACTGCTGGCAGAATTAATTACCTGCCAAATGGGTTTCACATGCTCCCAGAACTGAGCCCCCAAGTCTCAGCAGCCCAGTACACCCCCAGAAAACTGCTTTTTATTTCTGTTACCAATCGAGCATTTAACCCCAGGAGGCCAAACATTCCAAGACGTTCCAAGTGCTTTCCAAAGGCACAATTTCCATAATTGCTCAGCTCCAGCACTACCATAAACCAGGACACACCGGGACACGTTCTCAGAAACCCTGCCTGGCAGGATTACAGATTTTATTAATGGTTATTTAACTCCCAACCATTCTTCCTTCATCATTTACTCCCCAGGCTGTGTTGTCTGCAAATGAAGGGGAACCCTCTGATGCAGGAGTTTCCCAGGCCTGAATTCCCAGGATTTAAGCAAAAGGTGTGGAAGGTTCCAGAGGGTGAACTGCAATGAAGAATAATGGAGAGAGCAAAGCCCTTGGCTGGTATTTCGAGACAAAGGGCAGAGATTGTGACAGTGGGGAAATCAGGCAGCTTCCTCAGGTCATGAGATTATTCCCTGGAAAAACAGGGCCTGGAGCAAGGTCAGCACTGTGGTCTCTGGTGCAGTGACTGAGCACCAGAGCAGCGACAAAAGGTGGCTTTTAAACACCTGAAATATGTGACCCTAAGCACACAGCGTCCAAACTTATGGAATGTTTATTTTTATAGGATTTCTGGTCACCATAACAAGCCATAGAATCAAGAGGATGGAAAAGACCACCAAGATCATCGAGTCCAACTGCAGTGTGGACATTCTGCTTTGGCCAAGGAGTGAAACTCCTCACAGGTGAAGTCCAGGGAAGAGCAGGGCACTGTAAAGATTTCCTGAAAAGAGGCACTTGTTGGGGTGGGAATTCCAACTGCTCGGCATCTATGGAAACTGAGCTCTAAATAGATCATCTTCCAGCACAGGGATTCAGCCACAGCTGACAACAAAAGGAAAAGCAGCTCTTGAAGTTCTGTTTCAAGCACAGTGACCTACGGATAAGCTCAACTCATTCTTCTACCAGTACGTGGATCAGACCAACTTCCAAAAAGGAACATTCAATGGGAATTATTTGGGCAGGCAGGCTCTGGAATCTGTTCTATGAAACAACACATGGAACACAACCCTCGGCCTCCAGCAGGAAGCAACTTCCCAGAATAGAGCAGAGCAGGAATTCCATAGCTGTTAAAAACATTCACCAGGTTGGACAGGGCTTGGAGCAATCTGGGATAGGGGAAGGTGTCCCTGCTCGTGGCAGGGGTGGAATTGGTTGAGCTTTAGGATCCCTTCCAACCCAAACATTCCATGATTCACTTCTGCCAGGCACCATTCTCTGGCAACGCTGCTGTGGGAGAAGAGATGACCAACAAGCAGTTTGGGAGGTGCAGGATAAAATTCCTGCTTCAGGACAAAAATTCCTGCTTGCCTCAACCCCAAAAACTCCTCAAAGGCATTTATTTACAGGGCTCTGCACTCTGCAATGACTGATGTGACTCGTTACGGGTCTCAGTGCAACAACCACAGCTCTGATTTATGGCATGAGACTCAAGGCAGAAAAACCCCAAGGTGGCATCAGACAAATTGAAGAAATCAATATAAGCAGAAGAAAAGTGACCAGGAACAAATGGTTAATGGCCAGAAGGCAGCATCTAATAGTGGCTCTAATTAAATATTCATTTTTCTCCCTTCAGTCTGAGCGAGTGCAGCTCTCAGGCACTTTGGGGAAATAGCACAGATTAAAAGAAAAGCAAACAGGACGAATGACTTCAGTTTATTTCTCCTGCTTCAATTTGCAGGCCCAGTGTCCAAAAGGACTGGAGGCCAGGAGAACCTCTTGGAGTCTGTTGTGAATGAATGGCCGGGAAACTGATGACTAATGCCCAATCTCTTTCTTCTACTCCACCCAAAACATTTTGCAATATATAATAAAATCAGCACATTCAAGGGGTTTTTTTATAACTCACAAAGCCAAAAATCTCATTACTGGGTAGTCTTTTAACAACTTTCAATCACAAAATGTTCCTCCAATTGCAATAACAAATCCATATATACCAAACTTCTGTTAGTGCAGCCACCAACCCAGCACCACCACCATGTTCACCACTAAACCACGTTCCCAAGTGCCACATCCACAGGTTTTTTGAGCCTTTCCAAGGATGGAAATCTCACTGGCTCCACCAGTGCCCTGGGCAGCCTCTGTACCTGCATAGAAACCAGGCAGGAGTTTACACAGTGGCTATTTGACGTGGCAGCAGCAGGCAGTGCCAGATGCCAGCAGTGAACAGCAGCACTGAGTGTTCTGTGGCCCCACTTGCACAGACTTGCAGGCTCCCGCTCCGGTAAAAGCAAAGGAAATGCTCTGCAAACAGCTCAGCGTGGGTGGTTCTCCATAAATTCATCATCTTTGATACTTCCCCGAAATAATCAGCTCCTCCTTCACAGGAATTGCTGTTGTAAAAGGTGTGCGGCTGCTAAATGGGAAATTCAACGTGGTTTCAGCTGCACAAACACTAATTGGATAAGTACCTTTCAAAATCATCCACAAGTCACTTCTAGTTGTAGGGATGGAGCAATTAAGCTGCTCCAAGCCAAGTCTATCCCAGTGGATACGCTTGAAGCCTGCCAGCATCCTGGACTTGCACTCCCAATGCACGTGATCCAAACTGCAGAGGATTTTATTGCTCTCATCTCCAGCCAAACTCCAAATCCCATGGCTGGAAGGTTACACAAGAGCTGTGCAGCTTTAATCCCTGCTCATGGGGAGCTGTGTGGAAGTCTGAGCTCGCAGAGGAACGTGGCTCCCCACAAAACTCGTGTGAGTGGTTCTGGACAGTGTCACAAGGCGGGCAGCCCTTTGGGGACACTGGATGCAGCCACCCCACTTTCTCCCACCACAGGAGCATCAGTACCCAACAACCCATAAAATCAGAAAATCCTAAATTAGAATCATATTCAGACAGAGCAGGTGAAGATTTAACCCAGAAAACTGGGGCAGTTCATAGCTGCTGCTTGCTGTTCTGCTCTGGTTGAACTAATGGGTGTTCCTGTGGCTGTAAATGGGAATTCTGTCCCAAAACACAGACACAGGGACACTGTCCCTACGCTTTTTGAGGGTGTATGTACACGTGTGTAAGCCTGGTGTATCATAAACCTCGTTCTTTGTGTGAACAGGCTGCACGAGCAACTTACACAGCTTTAAAAGTGAACACTAAGGACACTTAGTGGACATAGGCACCGTTTTCATCCATCACCAGAATTTCCCTTAGAAAAATATTTGTATGGGAGGCAGAAGTCATTCCAATTCCAAGGATGAAGGGGTCAGCTCCACGGCGCTGCTCGTACGAGACTCGCACAAATCAGGGCACCGCACTGACATCCTGGAGCAGCTCTCGGAGGAAGCAGCAACTTCCAGCTGCCCCTGACACCTCCCTGAGACACCACTCACCGAGCAGCAGCCACACCTCGGGCAGGTGACACCCCAAAGGTGGCCACTGTTACCTGCAGAGCGGAGGGGTCGAGGCCGAAGCTGAACTTATCCCAGAGGCCGGTGCTGCCGGGGGCCTTGGCGAGCCGCACCACGGCGTTGTGGGCAGAGAGGCTGACGCTGCTCTCGGCGCTCAGCAGCGCGGCTGCGGGAGGGAAGCGCAGGAAGAGGGCGAAGGCAGCGGTGTCGCTGCAGAAGCGGAGGCTGTAATGGTGCGTGCCCACATCGCCGTGGAGGCTCTGGGGCTGGATGCCGGGCACCAGCAGCAGCAGGGTGAGGGACGCCTCGTCCTGCCGGGCACGGAAAGGAGGGCACTTGGCCGTCTCCTCGGGGGCCGGCGGAGGGGTGTCCCCCGTG